TAGTCCAGTGCTTCTTGTGTGACACTCTTCAGCTTGTCTTTGATTGGCTGAGATTTGGAGAGGGTCAGAATTTCCTCCAACTCATTGGCCGAGAGACCTGCTTTTAATCCTGCCTGTGCAACACAAAACAAGTCTGTTTTAATATAGTGGTGAAGTACAACAGAGGTTATGATGAAAATTTTCATGTATATAGTTTTATGGCATAATAATAGGTGATAGAACATGTAAATTAATTCTAATTAGCAATTTTACAAACCAGGTTCTGCATCCGACACCTCTTCTTTTAAAAACAGCTAATCTTGGGTATAGGATACCTCAGTAAGGGAGGCAGGCTGGGTAACGTCCTGATCAGTGCTCCAGATTCTTTTCCAGAGCTCTCTAGATACCCTTTCCACCAGCATGTCTCCCTCTTTTTCCTTCTCTGCTACAGCTGTCACAAAACGCATGGTATTCAAAGTGCCTACATGGAAAGATGGACGATAAGAGATTGTGACAGAAAGTGATTACAAAATATTTTCCCTTAAACAAAAATTGCTCTTAAAACATATCTATATGACAGAAAAAAATCTGCAAGTATAGCTTGCATTGTGCATTTGGTCATGGTTTGAATACCTTTCTCAAATATTGCCTCAAAAACGTTTGAAGGTGGATACAAAGGAACGCCAAAATAGCCAGACACCCGCTCCAGATCTTTGGTCATGTAATGAAACTTATTTGGGACCATTCCAGGGGGCCGATTGCCTAAAAATAGAAGAAATTTGATAATATATGAACTAATTTATAAAACAATGCAACATAAATACCACATTCTTTTGGTATTTTAAAAAAACACATAATGCATTCTTAGACGAGATAGAAACACATTTTCACTAAAGAATCTAGAACTGTTTTTAATTATTTATATATACAAACACACCCATTACCCGAGTCATGCATGACTCCCCCTAAATATGCTGGTTTAAATTTGAGGTCGATGTTCCAAACATGTCTATAGCGACACAGCACCTTAAAACACAAAATCAACACATTATATGAGAACATCTTGAGCAAACTGGATTGCAATTAACTAACGCTACGTTAAAGGAGAAAAACAATACGCACTTCAAATGCCAGCCAGGAATACGGAGAAACAATATCATAGAAAAACTCGACCACTTTTCTTGAACTAGCCATCTGTTAAGAAAATAAGCACTTTCACAAACCCGAAATTAAATATGGATTATAATATGGATTATTAGAATAATGTAATTTACATGCACGCGAGCAGTTTACCCTTGGCGTCGCTGTCTCACTCGTGTAACTTACTTGAAGAGAAACCGTGTTAAAGTTCAACGCAGTTAGAACGAGATATTAACCTACACCAGTTTATGGCAGAAAGCCCCTCATCCGCTGACAGACTAGCAAGTGATGTTCGGTTCTTGAACGAATCGTTCTTTTGAGCCGGTTCT